CCCCTACCACGTCTCACGTCCAAGGCGATTGCATTGCAAACGGTACATAATGCAAAGCCACACCTGTACAAACCACTGTATTTTAAAATTCTAGAAAACCATTTTATGGGGATAGTCCCTCTTGCTAAGCGAAAACATCGACTTCAAGTACGAAGCCAACATCGGTGCAACCTTAGTTCTCTTGATCGCCCCAATCAATGCCGTATCGACCGTTTTCTGGAACTTCTTGCGGTCATCGGAGACCGTATACTTCTAAAAGAGAAAAGAACAAGTTAGAATGCTTTGATTTTTTTACGAATTACACAAGCAAGCAATTACCTTTTCTTCCTCGGCAAATATTTTGTCGTCGGACTTTTTTGGTTTAAGATCCTGGCGGCGGAAAAACTCATCGTTTAGCCTTTTTGGTATGCCAACATTGGACATCTTGATTTTTGTCTGTGTGGCAATAACGTAGCGCTGGTTTACCCGTCTGAGTGGGACGCCATTATATTTGAATGGTCCTAAGTAGGGCAACGTTAAAAAAAACATATATACCAGTAACAAGGAGCATCCCGCTTGCAAGAGACTTCAAGAAAACAACACGCTTGCCCCTGTGCCGTCCAGCAAGCAAAATTAAGATAGTACCTGGAGTAATAGAAGGACGAGTTGTTCGCCGATGATCCTTGTAGCATTGAACTTTTCTTAGCTGAAGCTTGAGCTTAGGCTGCTGAGTAGCATATGCGCGAGGCTAAACACAATAATTATGCAAAGAGACTACAAATCTGGGTTTTTGCACGATTCGTCGTTGAGAAAGAGCCCTTTTCTTTATCTTAGCCTTCTGCTCCTTTGTTAACTTGTTCATTGACTTTGCATGTTCCAAAATTTTCTTTCCAGATATCTGTTTCCGCTTGTTATGTAGCTTCGGTTTCCGGGCGTAACCCTTCTTACCCCTATCCTTCTTACTCTCGGCCACCATCACACGAGAACTCAGATGAACAAAGTAAGCGGCATAAAGCCTTTCAGTAGGCTTAAACACCGTTTTTGTTGTTTGATCGTAAAAAATGATCTTTTTCTTTTTTTAAAAAGGCAACTTAGTAGAATAACTTTTAAAATTTTTGATTAAAAAATCAAAAAGTGTACATTAATAGTTCAATGTATAGTTCAATGCCATTTGCGTTAATCCGCATTATTGCGCACTTTAAAATTATATATTATTACTAGTAAAGCAATTGCCTTTAATTTATGTTTTTTTTTAAATAAGACCTTTTTATATTGTATTACAACTACATTCGTAATAATTGTGTGTGGGTGAACTTGCGTAATTATTGGTCGCATTGTCGTAATTTTAAGTGATTTTAGGTTCGGGGATTTTCGCATTGACAAATAATTTTTTTTCCTACTCGAAAAACCTAAAAAACGTTTTAATTTCTACTTTAATCTATCTTTTGTTGCTCGAGATGTTTTGCTTCTATTATTGTTAATGAAAAATATGAGCTGCGATTAGAATTCGGTTGATTTGTTATACTTGATACTGTCAGCTGGACACTAACGTAAAATAGGTTCTGTAGACTTTTGATTTCATGTTTATGAGCTTTTTCATGCTTGCTTTGTTTGTTGATAAAACCTGACTAAAATAGACACGTTTATCTCTATATGTAAGCTTTTTTGACTTTCGTTATTGGGTATAACTGTGTTTCATAAAACAACGTATTTGCCAGCAAGTTTCTTTAAAGTAATATTTTATAAGCCCTTGTTTTGCACTTAAGTATTTATTTACGGTACAAATTTTGTTGGTTTGTTATAGTAGTGTTATTAGTTAATCGGGAAGCGACAACGTTGGTCACAAATTTTTAAGAGTTTCAAAGTTTTGGTCCAAATTGCTAAGAGGCCACCGCGTTATATCTAGCCAATACCGCTATCCTGACACCTGCGAGGATAAATGTGACCGAACAAAACCAAGCACAACAGTATGTCAGGTAACATGATCTTGCAATGTCGTGTTGTGTGCAAACGTTAAAGATATTGCACGAATTAAATACACAAGCTAATTTTTTAGACTACAAATATCTGAATGGTCAAATTAATAAGCTATTGAATGGTATAAGCGATTTTTACGCCCACCCGGTGAGCTTTCAGAACCACATAAAGTCCGATTGTCGTCGTTGTGCATGGTAGCAAATCAGTTTAGATAAGATAACTTGACATCGATCTCTGAACAACAAAAGTTACTTGAAGTGCATTTAGGGAAGTCGATTGAATCGTACTTGATAGCGCTTAATGACCGTACTTGTTTGTTGCTAAGACAGGTTCATGCCCAGAGGTGAATGTGCAGCGGGATCCTCATAGCTGACAGGCCCACATTGAAATGGTGTCTGTGAGTTAGATTATGACGCGACCGAGCAGACAATTGTGTAATCTCGCATTTACATGACTCTTAACTGTGCTAGATTGCGGAAAGGCCTATGCTGATTGGGGCAGGATTAATTACTCATTTATGTTTATTAGTATGGTATGTTGAGTGTGTAGCATTTATGCCATGTAAACGTGCATATAATGGTTAGTAAGAAAGGTCAAACAAGTGATGATCGATACTCAATGTTCAGATCTGAAACTAAATTTAACTCGAATGCAATTCCAGGTAAAGGTTATATTACACTGACTAAAACGTTGCAAAATCGAAATATTTGGCCGCGACTGCAAAAGACTTGGTTATTGAATGTTAATGAACATGATTACCTCTAAGATATTCAGCATATTCATGTATCATTTGATTCAACACCACTCTCTTACATCAAATGATTTTGTAATTCATGTGGGTCTTACATGCAACCTAATGGTGTATTTGACAATATTTACCAAGCGTTTAATTAGGGGCAGACGTATTCCACGTTAATCTCTTCTTCGGTTAAACTCGCCATTTTTAGTGTTCTAGTTATCACCCTGATTGAGAGAAGTTGTTGCTTAAAGTATTGACTCGACATAGAAAGTCCCATCTTTATAAATAAAATATGAAAAGTAAATTTATAATAATTAGGGTTTTTTCTTAACCTGATAAATGTAACTAAATGTGGTGGATTTTTTCTTGGATCCTAAAAAAACTCCAAATTGAGCGCAGCTTCGTTTGATTCATTGGTATAAACTTTAAAGGTTTGTGGAAAAGAAAAAAATGAATTTGCTTTTTTTAACATTTTAAAATGTTTTGACAGTTTTTATAGTTGGTTTTAATGGCGGTTGTACCTTTTGTTTGAACTGTTTGGTTTCCGCCCTAGATCTTGTCTGCTCTTCCTTTCGTGCGATGCCTCGCTCCGATCGACAAGCTGAGGGTTATCGAATTTTCATCGGCGGCGTTGATCCGCGAGTTGGTAAAGTAGAGCTTGAGCGCGAATTTGACCGATTTGGAACTATTGTTGATGTGTGGGTGGCACGTAATCCGCCTGGATTTGCCTTTATTGTATACAAGTACTTGGAGGATGCAGAAAAGGCCATAAGGCGCATGGATAGAAGGTTAAATCTAATTAGCATGTATTATTTTTGTAGTAGCCCTTTCGGTTCAAGGCTTCGCGTGGAGCACGCTGCGAATTCCCTGAAATACAAGCTTGAGGGGTAAGGATTTTATTGTCAATGTTACGTGTTAAAAACGCAGTTTTATCGTCGGTAATCATTTACCCAAGTTCCCTTTTGTGTGTACGTTTTTTTCGTAAGTATTCTTTGAATGCGAGTTGCTTCCTTATCGGAAGTTGTACGCTGCCTAGACTGCACTAACATAACTTTGGTCACTGCTCTAGATGGGCGGCTGTGATCGCTCTCCTTAGCTCCCGTTCCCTCGACGCAATCCTTGTCGGTTGGTAGTATTCCAGTGTCGAATTTTTAAGACATGTTTTACCCAGCTCATTGTATTAATTTGCGCTTTTCACGCAAAATCTCCGTTTGGTGTACTTGCCTACTTCTAACTACCATCGCCTCTTGGGATCCACGTACCACCTAGAAAAACTCACCTAGGTCGATCCATTCTGCGAAACTATCGTCTCACCTCGACCCAAATTTGCCACCTTTCTTCTCCTCTTCATAACCTCAGTATCGCCCATTTCCACCGTTTAACTTTCTCTCCGAGTTAGGGCTGGTGAGTTTTATTCCTGGCTTGATTTTAATCACAGGAGTCTAGCGGCAACTGTTCTGCAACCCAACTGTGATATCAGGCCGATTTTGTCCAGCGATTTGCACTATGTTGATTCGAGCAATGCCGATTTGTTGGGCATGTCATGGTATCTGGTTGCACCTCTTCGTCCGCCGTCTCTTTTGCCCTGTGAATTTACTTGTGACTGGATTTGCGCCCCTTTCCGTAATATTTTGTCAAGTCTGTGCCGAAGATTACTTTCGGTAGCGGTGATAGATTCTCCTTGCGGGGTTCTAAAGTTGTTGCTCGCGCCATTCGGATAGGTCTAACCGTGTTTAGTCTTGTCTGTTCTGAACCAGTTCCGTTCTCATTTTAGCCGTCGCAGGTCCCGCAGCAGGAGTCGTCGACGTCGAAGCCCTTCACCCAGACGCCGAAGGTCCCCCCCGCGTAGACGCTCACCACCCAGGCGCCGCGATCGAAGGTAGGTTTTTTAAGTGAGTTCCTTCTCACGATGTTAGTCTTACTCGGGCATAATCTTGATTCATAATTCTTTAGCGACAGTCGGCGGTATAGACGGTCTAGTTCACGGGGTAGACGAAGGTCATGGCGTCACAGATCGAATTCCCGGTCGGCCTCTCGAAGGTCTCCAAGCGACCAAAGATCGCGTGACAAGTCTCGTTCTGGGAAACGTTCCAGGGATCGTTCTGCATCGTCTCCTCGCCGCCGTTCACAGTCACGTGAGCGTTCTACGTCTAACTATCTGTCTCGAGATCGTTCGGGTTCTCGTGAGGTGTCCGATAGGAAGCGCGCCCGCATTTCTGGTTCCCGCAGCCGTTCGCCATCGCAGCGCTCGGCGTCAAGGAACTCTGCCGACAGGCGCTCCCGATCAGCTTCCCGTGCTGCTGCTAGTTCCCGGGGTCGTTCTTCTAGCCCAGTTAATCGTGGTGAAAATGGTGGTGGTTCTAGACACAGCGGGAGCAGGCATTCATCTCGCTCTCAATCGCGTTCGGGGTCTCCATCCCCCAGCCGCCGCAGTGGGGATCGTTCACCTTCGAGATCCAGGTCAAACACACCACGTCGTGAACATTCTTCGGATGGTAAAATTGATTCTACACGTTGATTATAGCCATCGAGTCCGCCTGTTTTATGTTCCAACGTTTTGTTCTGTAGGTGAAAGAAGTGGGAACAGGAGCGACTAGTCGGCTGCACTTCTCATCCACGACCGCCTCGCATTTTCACCCTAATCAGCATTGTCTCTATGTTGTCTATCGCACACCATTTTTTATATTACAATTGTGGCATTCATGGTTCGAAATAAAAAGTTCCTGTGATTTGCTGTTTTCTCGACTTTGGACCCCGGTGTTTACTGCCCTGTCTTGGCAGACGGGAAAGCCTGGAGTCGGGCAGGTGCATATAACGGGTGTGGCGCATCGGTCTGCGCTTGCACTCCACCTTGTCTCGTTAAGGAGGTTTGATGCTGGTCAATTAAGTGGGTATGCGCTCGGATACTCCCTGTGTGGACTCTGGCAGTAGGTCGCGGCATCTTCGTCGAGTGACTTGGTGGTGCTGCTTTGGGAAGTCGCAGGGCGTTTCTTTGAATCACGGGGACACGTCAGCGCAAATTCAGGGAAGTAGCACGTGCGAATGCGGTTTTCGAGGTTGTTGATTCGCCTAGAGCAAGCAGTCGAGGATGACGGTGGATGATGGCAAAGTGCCCGTTCTGTCAGGGGGCCGTTATCTGCGGAGGTTCGCATTGTTCGTGTTGCCACCACATGCTAACCTCTAACAAGCTAATAATTATGAAGTGATTCTTTGGCACAATTCCTGGACGGTAAGGCAACAAGCATTATTAGCTTGAGTCGTGGTGCAGTGATTTGCTAAAAGGACTGTTTTAGCCTTTGACAAGACTAGTTGATGTCTTTGACGGTAGCCGTGTAAGTGTCGAGTAGGTTTTGCCCGAAATGACAAGGCACTACGGATATATTTGAACAGAAGACTCCACCACTGTGTTTCCATGCCGTATAGTCTGCATCGATATGAGATATCTGTTCTGTCCGATTCTTCGAAAAGGGGTCTAAGTTGGTCAGAAAATCATGCATTCAGTGCCATTACCAGGCGTCTGCCTCTCATGACATGTAAATTCCTTTTCCTCAGGAAATTGACGGTTCAGCCCTTCTGTTGTTGGATATCGACACAATGCGCTCCCTTCTGAAACTCAAACTTGGTCCTGCCCTCAAGGTTGACGACATAGTCAATCGCCTCAAGCAAGGTCATCGCTAGAGCTACAGCGCTGCAGATGCCTGGACAATAATTCAACTTTTCGTACATACTTTAAGCAGACCGAGATGCACATCCCCACAAAATGTACCTCCCCTGCACCTGACTTCTCGTTTGTCAATGTATAAATGTTTCCTGTTTTGCCTCACAACTTTTACCATATTTTGACAGGCGCATCCACCCACACCCTCGAATTAGCGGCTGTGATTAGCCGCCCACCGCACCTTTGACGTACCCCAGATATAAACTACCAACGATTGCATTTTAACTTACTATTGTCTACATGCGATAATAAGAACCCAATAAACAAGTTCTCAGGTAAATGGGTGAATGATTTTCCCCTTGTGCTGCTCGAGGCACGATCAGACTGGTCGAGATCTGGGGACAGTGACTGTTCAACATGGTCACCGATGATATGCGAGGAGAACCGGTGCTCACGCTCTGAACTTCTTGAAGACCCCGAAAGGGCAAACGCGCAGATTAGCAGAAGCGCGTGGACAAGATCACTGCGACCGCGGCTGCACAGAGCCGAGCAATCTCGGCTCCACTAATTCAACCCCTACCACGTCTCACGTCCAAGGCGATTGCATTGCAAACGGTACATAATGCAAAGCCACACCTGTACAAACCACTGTACTTTAAAACTAAAACAATCTGTTCACTGGTCCAAAGTCTTTACATGCAAATCACAGCCACTAGTTATTGACAGAACAAATGCTTCTAACTGGTAATGGCATCCTTGAAACACCCATGGAGAGTCAAATTACTCCCAGTACTTATAATTCTTCTAGTATTTAGTATTTATTAGCGCGTTATGCGAGAAAAAATTTAGTAAAGCTAATAAGGAAAATAGGAGATGTCTGATGTTTTAAGGAACGAAAATCAAGCTCCACAGCGCGTGGCATTGTTCTTGACAGCTTGTTACCGCAGTGTATGTGACGCCGCGGAACTTTTTAAGCTGTCAATGTAAGGGTGATAAAGACAAAGTAAAATCAAACTGAAAAATAGTCGGACAGGCGATAAGCTTTTAATTCAATCGTGTGTACTTGCAATTGCGAGTTAGCATTGACGTCACCATTGCTCTGCGTCTCAGATTGCACGGCTTAATAACATTCTCTAATTTGTGGAGAGACCAACTGCTTTAGCTTATGCTCTCAAAAAGTCTCCATAACACGTATTCACACACAGAAGGAGTAACGACATCCACACGGCAAAGGTTTGGGTCAAACGTGCAGTTATTTGAAACATTTGTTGGTCTAAGTGACTGCTGGCCTCTGACGACACAACATAGGGGACTTTCTGTCTGACTGGATTTGGAAATATGTAGGTCATCACGACACATAACACGATCTGCTGGCGTTTTGACTAACTTGATCCCTTTAATCAGACTGTGTGTGCGAGAAGCACCTTAGATTTACTTTATTTCATTGACCTTATTTTCCCTTAACTAGGAGACTGTTCATACTCATTAAATTGGAGCAGAGATTTTAAAAAAAACGGTATTGAGTCGTTAGCACTGGTTTGTCTATTTCCGGTCTTTTCTAGTAAGTAACTACACTACATTGATCTGAACAATGTTACTGTTACTAGCAGATGACAAAGCCGGATAAATATACCTCCTATATCGAAAACGACCGTTTTTTCGCACCCCAACCGATTTCCGATTTCAGGTTGTTTGGTGTGGAGTGGTAAAAGTGCCTATTTTTGAAAATCTAGTTTTTAAGGCTGACTCGACCATCTCTTACTAACGGCACCAACCTTTATGAGTGTAGGAAAAAACTCAAAGCTACGGAATCATTAACATGAGCTTAACTCTAAGAAGTGGAAATCTTTTGACTAAGTTTGCATTGGTTTCATGTAACTCAGTTGACCATCTTTAAGGTTGGGTCGTACATTTACCAGATAGACTGCATTTTAGACGGCCGCCCGAGTCTTCACCCATGCCCATTGCGGCATCACTATTTTATGTTAAATGGTCTGAATCTTTACTTAGCATAGTCAATGTTGGCGATACTGACGTTATTACATTCTGTTATCCGAATTTCATCAGATACTACAAATCTACATACCTACTCACCTACCCACCTACCTACCTACGTACCTGCAGTGCTACTGTTCTTTCGACAAATAAATCAATGACAGTACTGCTTTGTGACCACGCACATAGAGTCATAAATTGAAATAAATGGTGCTAAAAGTCCTTTGCCTACAGAAAACTGTGCCTTAGATATTTCGGAATGTTATCTTCAAATACCAGTCGTGCCCGGCTATTATTTCACGGGTCTGGTTAATTCCAGTTTTTACGTGGTGAGCAGTTCTCCGGGCCAGACGAACTCAGGTAACACACATGCATCTTTGCGTTATTATTATTGTTATTATTATTATTGTCATTACCATTATTATAAATTAGAGCTACCCTTGCTATTTTGACCTTGATGTGCTCATCTATACTAGGGAACTCAGGCTTCAGTGACTAAGTGTTGTTTACAAACCGAGTCGGATTGCTGTCCCGAGGTTGCAAAGGAACTTAGCAGAACGCCGAACAATGATTCTACGCCAACTTAGGTTTTTAATTTTGTTGATTGTTGATCAGTAGAGTCCACAAGGCGTTTTGTCATTTGGCGTCGACTGGCGCTGACTACGCGCGAGAATTCTTCTTCAGTAGATTGTTGACAGTGCATGCTAGAAAAAGCTAGATTGTCTGAATAACCATTCGCATTCTTTTTGAAATGAACTCACCAAACTGACGAAAGAGAATATAGGCACAAATAACACAAGAGTACAATAAGAAGCAGTCAGAATTGCTTAAATATGACCAGAAGAATTTCATATAACTTGAAATTTCATCATACCTGTCACTTACGTAAAAACTTATTCCAATAGCTGAGTTCTAGTGACGCCGTTAAAATTCTAGCATATCAGTAAAGAGTGGACGCCTTCATCACTTTGTGCTTTGTTTATAATTTTTTTAAAATTGAAGAACATCTTAACTTAAGAATCCCATGTTCTATAAATGTACGACAATAGGTAGCAGAAAATGGATCAGAGGTGGTTCTGGTGCTAAGCACACAGTTTACACCTCACCTGTGTCACCATGACCACAAAATTAGAGAAGCATCATAAGTTTTTTTACGTTACGTGTTCGAGACATTTGCTGTCACCTGGCTTGATAACTAAACTCCGTACAGAATGTGTTTCGCTTACTAACCTTCTACTAAGGGCCAGTCTGTGCAGCGCAAGGAAAGTGCGCTGAATCTAAAATTGGTAATTTGGCTGAGAATCGCCCGGGGTTGGACAGACTACGTGAGGTTAGAGATTAAGCTGTAGCCAATAGGTTGGCTAGTAATCTGGTGGAAGTTGAGAGGCACAGTGTAGTGAAAAATGATTTCACTAGGTATTTGAGGCAATTAATTTAGTGCTCTACATAATTTTTGAACAGAGGGACTTTTTTCACTGTGGCAATGAGACTCGAAGAATACGTATTGTGGGCCTAAGAGGAGTTGTTTGACTTTGATTGGGATGTTTCAAATCATTTCAAAGTAGCTCGAGTTATTCACGGTGTGAAAAGTTATCCGATTTCAAATTACATTGGAGCCATTTGAATTACTTTTTCAACAAATCGGTGGAGTCTCGTCGAGAACTTGCCATTCGCAAGAAGATGAAGAGAAATAACCAATAAAATTGCTTATTAAACATTTAAATGATAATCAAATTTCCGCAGATATTTTGAATACTACACCTTGGTGAATGTTGCAATTGAGTTGAACTAATTTTGGTATCTCTTCTATACATCTGTCCTGACGTAGGCGTCAAGTCGGCAGTAAACGCAAACAATTCTTTTGACTTCATTTACCTGATGGTTCAAAACGTGTACTATTGTTGAATTTGAGACCAAATTTTCTTCATGATAAATAATTAATTAGGGACTTTAATGCTTGTACGTACGCACGCGCCTTTAATTGGTTAATCCAAGCTAACCAGTCAGAATCGACGATTTTAGCGGATGCGCACGCGGACGAGCGTGCGTGCGTGCGCGGGGGACACGGAGTTATAAATGCGAATGTTTCATGCCTTTGGTATTTCTCTCCGGCGTCCCCTCACGCGCGCAGCAATGTTGACAGATCTTGTCTCTTCTGCAGCTGTGATGGAATATTTTACTCAAAATGTTAGAATGAACCACGGTCTGGATGATACCCGTCTTAACAACGCCCTCCAAAATAGCAGAATGATGTCGAGATCCACAACGAAGGTGAGTACGGTAATTGAACTCTTGTCAAAACCCGTGACTGAACCAGACTATGAGAAGGCTGCGGATAAATCTAGTTCAGGCGAATCAGGTTCGGTGAAACCGCCATATTCCTACATAGCTCTGATCACAATGGCAATAATGCAGTCGCCAAATCAAAGACTCACCCTCTCTGGCATTTGCAATTTTATCATGGCCAAGTTTCCTTACTACAAGGAGCGATTTCCCACCTGGCAAAACTCTATTAGACACAATCTCTCCCTGAACGATTGTTTTGTTAAAGTTCCTCGCGAACCCGGTAACACTGGCAAGGGTAATTACTGGACACTTGATCCTAATTCACAGGACATGTTTGAGCACGGGAGCTTTCTCCGACGTAAGAAGCGCTATAAGAGACACCATCTGAGGTCCTTGTGCGGCCTCGAAAGCAGAAGTGGGAGTCCGTCACCTCCACCCATTCGACTTCGAATCCCCACGCAGTACCCTCGACTACTGGTCTCCTCCCTTGAAACGAAACCATTGGAGATGGAACAGGATTACAGACTGAAGTTGCCAGCGCTTTCACTGGGCTGTGACGAGCTCGCAAACCTGACTATCCTCCCTCCTGCACTAATGATGAGTCCACCTGTCTCAAACACAGTCCTCACAACGTCCTCGAACAAGGCGAATGTTGTCAACGACTTTAGATCGGCTTCAACACAGACTTCGGAGTCCCGGGTGTCCTTCAGCATTGACTGGATACTCAGCGCCTCTTGATCTCATCCGAGGGGCTTTCATAAACTGTACAGCTGTGCATTCCCTACTTATAATTTACTTAACGACATAACGTAAACATGTTGTATTTATAACCTTGGCTTGCCTTTCTCAATCGATTAAAGGATGATCAAGGAAACGCGCACTTGTGGATTACAGAATCAGAATTGATAAGGAAGGAAGACTGGAGTCGGAAAGTGTCTACTGAGATACACATGTGGGGTGATGGGTTACTTGGAGAACTTTCTATGGGGCTCAATTTATCACCCTCCAGCGTTCCTCGACGTCCTGTGGTAGCAGTTTACAACATAGTTTATTACACTACATAAGACTGTCGTAAAGTCACCATCCAACAGACATTGATACGATAATATGTCAAAAGATTCCTGCCTGATGGGTCTGCCGTAGTTTTGTGGTTGGGTGAATTTCAAAATGTTTTGTGCCAATGCTTCAGGTAAGAGATCGGAGGTTGAAACACAACCAGACCCAACGCTTAGGCATTTCTGTAGCTTACGGTATTGTAACTGGTTCAACGAGGTTGTCCAACTAGTTTAAGGTAAATCCTACTTTAACTGTTTTCACGACAAGCCGTGTGGTGCCTGGTCACACCGGCTGAAACCTAATGGAATAATTGAAAGCATTGATTAACTAGTCTACTGACGACATGCCACTCTGACGAAGCCGCAAATACTTTGGACAGGTCAGTTCATGACAACATCGTCACTAAACATTCACACGATCTTACGCGGTTATATTACGCCATCCTCTTTTTCGAATTCAAATAAAGAACAATACTCTGCTCGGTAACCTTAAGATTGGCCGTCTTGATTAAGATTGAACCAAAGATGCACTACAAGATGCAAGTTGACCTGTCAACTAGAGTTTGTACAGGAGTAGTACGTGTCATTAGGCCATCCAATGAGATAAAAAATACGATGGACTGACTTGAGTAATGACGGACATTAGTCAATTGCTAAAAGCACCTCGAGTTTCATCCAAAGGATTGGGTCTACGATCATACCATCAAAGTCTAATCTCGTATACAAGAAAATGGCTGCAACAATTTATCCTGGAGTATCACATATCTTGATTCTCAGTTAAAGGTTTTTGGTATGATAGCATTGATAAATTTCTCGGCAAGTTGTGTTAATCTGTTTGAGAGGTAAAGGTATAAACTTGGTAAGGTAACAACAATAACATTTCAAGTCTACTGGCCATGCCGACATGAAGGTTTCACTGGTTTGGTAAAAAAAGCGTCTACCTGCCTGTAGGTAAGGCGACCTTCGTGCTGTGTGTTTACCTTAATGGGTTATTGTTATTGTCGTGGTTGCACAAAAACAACTGGCATGCACGCATCACGACTTCCTGGAAGGTGCTGTCCGCGTTCTTTCGTGCATTGTGCTAAGCACGGCGTTTTAAGGTAAACGATTTTGGGTTGCTGGTCCACGGCACGTCAATGTTTTTCGTCGGAGGGCCTTTTATCCACCTCGTGGCACTTGTAACTGATAAATAACCCAAGTTTATGCCTAACAGAAGTTTATACTATCAACTAAGCTACGGAGTGCGCTACAAGATAGAGACACGGTCTAAGCCTACATTGGAGATAGTTGATCTGATAAGAGATTTCTACTGACAAATGTAAATGTCGCAATGTACAACGGGGTACAAAACTTTCAACTGACACCCCTTTATTCATCCCACAAAATGACTAGGAACCATTCAACGGAGCAAGTGTGCCAGGATTAGGCAAGGATAGTATTTTTTTATTTACTGTGAGAACGTTCACTAACTTGATGATGAGAATTTAGCAGGGGCGACAGTTGCTCGAGTTCGAAAGTTACACCTGAGTTGGACATCACTGAATAGTTTGACACAGCACTACGCACAACCTTAGTGGCACTCAAGCTCCATACGTCTTAGAGAAATTAGCAAGGAGACTTGGGAGTGCTCGATATTTTGACAAGACGTGTATGTTCCTTGGTGCATTCGAGGGCCGAGAGAAACAGTACCTCATCGGAGCTGCGTCTTCACAAGAAATGACCTTGACTGTCAAGTTGTTTACTGCATAAATCAACTTCACACGTGCAAACAAAATGTTTTCACATAACCCCATAATTCAGATTTCAGATATATTTTGGTTAGCATGCATGAATAAAATCAGCGACGGTCAGTAAAGTCATAGTGTTCTAGTGACATCATTAAATATTACACCAAATCAACTAAAAGAATCCTCTGGCAACTACATAGCTGCCACATTGATTTGGCTTCATGAAGACAGCAGCAATTACCAGAAATCTAAACTTACATGAAAATTACAAATTTGTCCGGCTGAAAACTTAGTGACTGGATATCCTTTAGTGTGATTTGGCCTCACTGCTTTTTTGGCGCTTAAGTGAGACTGTAGAAATATAGGTTGCAGCTGCAGGGGAATGAATTCTTGAGAAGCAGCCAACAGGCAAAGTACATCCGTTGACGACAATGGCCTCAGACAAGAGCACCCCAGACGATAACGGTGCAGCTTTAAAGCGCCAGCTATAACGTGCCGAAGTTTAAAGTTTCGACTTACATTGACCTTGCTAACAATGGCATTCTTAATAATAGGGTTTTTAAAAAGTCCACTTTTGGAATTAGACGATTCGCAAATTATTTAGGGCCTCATTTTACATATATGATGGAATTCCTTTAAGTGCTTGCGTCTTACAAAGTAGAACTGGGTTCGAAGTCATTACCATTAAGTTAACCCAATATAAGCAAGTTTCAAAAAATGTTACAAAGCACGATTCAGCACGTTAAACCTGGATGCTACGTAAATAACGATTGTCCGTTTGTCCTTTTAGATAAGCGTTTTCTTCTTTCCTTTCATAGTTATTTTACTGGTATTAAAATCTGTTTCCTTTTGGTACAGAGTAAATTCTGGAAAAATTGACTTTTTGCATAATTCCGGTTTGATAGGTTTATTAGTTGGTTTCAACAACCGCGTCTGATTGAGCTAAACAAAATTACCAGTGAAGGAGAGTAATGGATTATATTGCGGCCAGTAATGACGAGCCCTACTTGAATCTCAGTCTCGAGTAGCTCAGGTCGTGGAAATCAAAACAGCCACGCACTACTTCTGTGATTGAGTGGCCCCTCATTGCTGCAGAGGGGCCCGAGTTCCATCTTCAGCACGTCGCATCAATCACGCGGTGTTCACAGTGGGCAGAAGTTAACAAGCAGTTTAAAAAAGCCTGATATAGTTCTAATAGCTTGGAGGCAGTCAGGATAGCCTTCGATGGGGGAGGACGTGTAAACACAATTCATTCTGTTGTAATTTGGATTCTCTTGCCTGGATAAAAACACCGAGATCAAATGCGTCAAGAACGACAAATGCAGCTCGGCATACTCCTTGCTGACGTTACGGCAACAGACAAATGTTAACCACCTGAAGGCCCTTGGACTCAGCATTGCTCCATGGACGGTTCAAATTCGCAGTGGCTCCTCAGCGATCGGGACGAGCACTAAAGTCCCGAGTAACTAGCAAGCGTTATTAAGCGAGTCTGGAGAAATAGTATGCTTGAGACGAGGCTAAAAGTTTAGCATTGATGCACACCACGCTCCAAGCCACAATGACTCTCAGGTGAGACGAAGTTCTTCCGTGGTTCCTCGACACACATGAGGTAGTGTTGAGAAGAGGTTTGAGCTAAATTGAAAAGGAAAAAACTATGCCCGTGCAAACACGAAAAAAGTCCTTGATTTAAAAAAAGCAGACACCCATAAAGTAGACTGGAGTGAGATGTTCAATTAGTTGAGTAATGTGCGCTTGGCTGTAACGATTTAGACCAAAATTCAACGAGTGCCAAGTTGTCTTTTCTAAATAACCTGCTTGAAGCAACATGGCACCTCAACGTAGCCAATCTGGTCACCCGTTCCGATTCCCCGGTCAACCGCAATCCCTTCAGCAGAACATCCCGAGCTGACTCAATTAGCTTTCATCAATTATTCGGTGATTTGATATTATTAACGTCTAAAAAATAAATTGACCATCCTGAGTGATCCTCTCACTAGCCAAAACCGACGCCACGGTTTCTGTGGTAGATCACTTAACATGTGAACAGTTACTGGCAAATAATTTCCGTTGACCGCGCTTTCTCTGGAAGAAAATAAAATATGTCTGGTGTAATATTTATAACTGCAAATATGTGCAAAAAGTAGTATTTCTCCTTTAAACGTGTCTTTGAAATTTCCAAAATATTACATGCAAACATTCCGATTTATTTCAACGCATACGTCGTCGTTACTGCGTCTACACTACATGGGTTTTCCTAATACGCGCTGTTATAAAAACCACAAGAATTGCACATTTAATTTTGGATGTGAAATTTTAAGTGAAGTAGGCAATTAAAACTGCAAAATCAATTAAAAATAAACATCCCAAATGTTAAATAATTGCAGGTCAAAGTAACCAAGTACACGGTAATTACAGGCAGGTAGTGTGGTGTAGCAAACCATAAACTTTGCGGTTGTCAAGACGTAGGGGGAGGTGGGAGATGGGTCTAGTTTGATGACCACGTTGACCCCAAGTGCAATCACTGGGATGATCATTTGGACAATCTCTGAAGCGTTCTTGAAACGGCAGTGTTTTGCTTGGGCAAACTACGTGTTGGATGCACCCTCTGGTGGTCATAAATCTCGATTAAAAATTAAAAACGGATGCTGTGTAATTTAATGAAGGGATCCAAATGCCTGGTGTGAGATACATAGACCTTTCAAAGTTATAAAAATACTTACGAGATTAGGGGAAGAAAATATTGAAAACCATCATACTGTACGGTGATTTGTTTATTTGGCAACTACACCGACATTAAGTGTGATAAATCTTGCAATTAATAGAAAAATAACTCGAGTTTCGCTCCATGGGCAGTTCCCACGTATTTCTGTCATAAATTCCTGTACATATTCCCCCCAAAATGGGTTCATCCTTCATGCTGCAGTATCTGTGACGCATGAAAGCACCTTTTTAGAAA